GAACCGCTTCTTACTACTGTCGAGGTGCCCCTTGTAAGGCTTTATGAGCCAGGTCTGTAAGGGGTAAGTTGGGGTTACCTAGGATCATTTCCACTTCCTCCACTAATTTTCTGTTATGGAAAGAAAGTCTCAGCCTGAGGCTTTCTGTACAGCCACTGTTCCTGAAAATGCATTCATCGTGCACTTCTCCAACCACCCCATATTTATATCTGTGAAATGCCTACAGTGATCCACAGGTGCCTGAAGCTTCATGAAGAAGTACCCTTCCGATTGATGTAGTCTGTGGCTGGCGGGGTGGCGCTATAATGGGAATACATGTGCCAATTGCCCCGCCAGTTTAGAAAGACCATTTCAGCAAAGTCAACCACTATTTATGTCATCCACATTTCTCAGACTCCCAGTCCTACACAGCAAAATATGATGTATTGCCCTGCACACTTGCATAAGTGCTGTCCTGACAGTAGACTTCTGTTACCTACAAGCTGTGTTCTTGGGGAACCAGGGTGTGGTGCTCATGGAGGACACCCACCTCACTCCAGCCCTCTGCTTGAACCAAAGACAAAGACAGAGGAAGACACACCTAAACCCTCTAGACAAGGGCGATAGGATTAAGTAAACACCCCTATACAACAGCATGGAAGACAGGAGAGGACAGACAGACATCTTTATTTGCATACAGAATGGAGAACAGCACTTCCCTGGTGGGAAATCTCTGCTCTAGATGCTAATGAACCCATGCTCAAACCCAAATCAGTAATTATCAAACCAATTTTAGCAATAGGCCCTCTATTGATATCCATTATATGATTTACAATATAAATCATCATGCTTCAGAACATAAGCCAACTTCTGCATGAGAGGTATTAGGAAAAGTCTTTCCCTGTGAGCAGGTTATTCCATAACTCTTCAATCTTTCTTTACACTTTCCTGAAAGCATCTGGCAATGACGGCTATCAGAAACTGGATACCGGATGGGTAGGAATACCGGTCTGATCAGGTATGACAATTCTTATATTTCTCTGATGCTAGGGTTGAGATTTCACAGTAAGATACATTGGACAGAGACCTTAAGGTCTCAAAAAGGAAGGCTTCTATTTTACATTTTTATGTAATTTTGTAAAATTAGCAGATAAATACATCCTAAATTGATCACAAACCTACTGCACTGTAAAGGGTCCACATTATTTTTCCTTGTTAATTACTGACATCTGACTACATCCTGATACATGAATTGAAATGTTGTCTTATGTACCACTATAAAAATTTTACTAGCTATTGCACAACAAAGCCTTCATTATGCTTTCAGAAGCATTGCTTGTTTGTTACTTGCAGCCTTAACACTACTTTCCTGGGTGTTATTCCCCACACTCAAAAAATAGTCCATCAAAAAGAAAGGAGAAGTAATTATTAACATTATTCAACACAGAGTATTTTGAAACTACAAAATAGTCTTAAAAATTAACAGAACAAAAGCTATCCTTCTCTACCCTCTGAATTCCAAATAAGGCCCCATGTATTGCAGGGTGGAAAAAGATCCGTTTCTTGAAGACTGAACACTGACACTGGTTAGGGAGTGTGTCACTGGAGGAGATCCTGGCACCAAAGGTAAGGAAAGTTAAAGAGCCATTTCTGAAGGTCGAGGTGGAGTGGAACAACAGTGGCCTCCTATGAAGATCCCAGCTGCTGGAAGGGGGAATGGGTTCTGGTGAAGACAGTTATGTTTTATATATTTGATTAGGACCAAATTATAACGTATCTGGTGATGGTTCTGATAACTGGATGTACAGTCACCACCATGGTAATTAGCACAAAGATCATAGATTAAATAAGTTACAATAGATTAATTTAAGTATCCATCAATATTTTATTGGGTCAGACTAGACATAAATGCTTTTGTTCTTTATACAGCTGATAGAAAAAGGAAAACGTACAGATGAGCTCCAATCCTGCTCCTATAGAAGCCAATGGTAGATTTCTCATAGACTTCAGTGAAAACAGGATCAAACCCATTGAGTATGCAAACTGCTAGGTTATTTTTCTAGGCAAAGTGAACTGACCAACCTTGATACTGTACAATTTACTAGGGCCTAATGTTTAATAAAATTATAACTATGATACACAGTATAAAATGATACCTGCATAAAAAGCAACATTTATTCAAATGGTAAAATAAACATACTCATGGAGAAATGATAAATATATGAAATTCAGAGAGATTAAGGAATTCCAACATTATATAAATACTCAAGTATATAAATAAGTAATTTAAAAAGCAATTATTTGTAGTCTCATTTGAAAAAAATAATTAGGGACCTCATTCAATACAAATAGTCTTGTTATTCTCTCACTGGAGTATAAACAAGGGGGAAATTTGACACTAACTATTCCAAGAGGATTTTCTTTGAGCTTTGTGGAAGACATTTATTTTCTGTAATACAGCTACATCTTAGTAAGCATAGCCTTGCTAGATATGGTTACCCTTTTTTAGAGAGCTACAGTTAAGAAATTACTGTATTCACACAATATGCAAATAGCATGAAGAACAGGCCAAGTGTTGCCCCCAATAACACAGCCATAAACCTGGAATGATTTCAGTGTACCCAAATATATAACCAGTAAAACTGAGAGCATAATTTGGCCACAGAGATCACACAAAAGGCTTCCACCAGGAAACTAGTATCTCCCGTCTTCTGATAAGATGAACTCTTTCGGTCTCACTGGGTTCCAAAACAGGATATCCACCACCTCTGTTTTTCAGTTCTCCCAGGTTCTTTTCTGCATATGAGTGTCTTTGGAGGCACATCTGCAAACCAAGACTTCAAGGCTACTTTAATTTTTGCATGATTGGAATGTTTGCATATAGACTGAATAAATTCCAAAGCATTTATAATGAAGTTTTGTAATGCAACTGTTCATCATTATTAATCTCACGAAGATTTACACCGAAGCCAGGGCACTCCCTGTTTCTTAGCTTGCATAACACCTTAATTAGCAGTGGCATTGCTACACTGAGTACCTCATGCAAGCTACTTTGCACTCTCAACTCCAAATGAAATCACCTAGCAGGTTCTAAATAGGGATGTGAAAGGTTAACTAGTTAAACAGTGTGGGCTAGAGCAGCTCCCCACTTGCCATGGCAGCCCCATCCACAGTGGGCCCAGGCACCTGCAGGCAGGGGCTACTCCAGCCTGTCCAGAGCAGCCGCTGTCTGCAGCAGGGGAGGAGAGGACAGTCAGGATGTTAAGAGGCAGGTAATTGTATTGACTACACAATTAGTCTATAGGGGAAGGTGCTCAGTCCCAGATCACGCCAGATGTAAGAGCTACTTCCAATGCAGCTTTGCAGTTTAAATGTAGTAAGAGCTGGGTGCGCAGGCAGCCCAGCTCAGTCCCAACTTGAGCCGGGTCCAGGACCTACCACAGCTATGGCTCTGCATTTTAAATATAGTCAGAGCCAGGTGCACATTTTACTACAGGTTGAACCTCTCTAATCCAGTACTCTCTCATCCAGAAACATCTGTTGTCCAGAATGATTTTAGTTAGCTGGATGTCCACCTTTCATGGATGTGGCCAAGTTTCCCACAGTCCAATAAAGTTTGTTTACAGCCACCAGTCCTAGCTCTCAGTGGAAGTGTTGGTAATGCTGCTAGACAATACTGACTTCCTGTAGTCCAGAAAATCCTCTCGTTCAGAACTGGTCAAGTCCCAAGGGTGCCGAACTAGAGAGGCTCAATCTGTACACTTAAAATGCAGAGCTGCAGCAAGGATAGGTCCCAAACCCACTACAAACTGGGACTGAGCCAAGCTTGCTCAGTCTTCACATCAGGTCCAGCAGCCACCCCCAACCCTCTACCCCTCGCAGACAGGGACTGCTGCTGGAGCAGCCTCTGCTCACTGCGAGCCTGAGCCCACTGCGGCCAACCTCTCCTTCCCCCCTCTACACACACACTGCTGTACCTGATAGAGGCAGCCGCACAGGGGAGGGGAAGGCTTCACCAGAGAGACGGTGCTGGGGGAACGGGCTTTTAAATCAGCTCCTCCCAGCAATGGTTCCTGCTTCCCCCCCTTGATGCCCCTCATACAGAGGCTGCAAGGGGCAGGAGGGAATGCAAGTAGTCAGCCTAGGCTTATCGGGTAGTCAAGAATTTGACTGCTCTCTTACATCCCTAGAGGAGAAGCAGCACTGGGGTAGCAAGACTGCTCCACCCCAACTGGGCTGGGGCACGCCCCCTCCCTTTACTCAGTTAACCAGTTAAACAATTTGTTTAATCAGTTAACCAATGAAATAGCATTTTACATCCCTAGTTCTAAGTATACAGCATTTAAAATTCTCAAATAGCTTCGGAGACATGAAGAAGCAGACAGGGAAGAGCAAACTGATAACTAGACTAAAAAGTAATAAAAGCAACACTTATATTTTACCTTTCTTATTACACTATTAGTAACCACATAATTGCACACTTATTCTATTACACATCGGCTCAAAAGCAATTTCCAAAATATCTTGCATATGGAAAAAATGCAAGGTTTTAAGTCTGAGCTCTTTATTTCTAGTATTCAGACAAAAAAAGATTTCCAGCAAAACTCGGTAAAATTTCTTCCAGATCTCTGTAAACCATGCTTTCTGTCAAGAAACGTTAGTGTTATCTTTTTTTAGCATAACATAGCTGCCAGCAGTCTTTCTGAGGACCTCTTCTGTCAAAAAAAAAAAAAAAAACAGGTGTGAGCTACTATGAGGAATTCTTTGAGACTTTCTGCAACAGCAGTGTCTGATAGCACCCACAAATATCTCCCAGTCCTTAGTGACTCACAACAGTACATTCAGTGGACTATTTTTTATATTTTTTCTGATTATGAAAACATACCACTACCAAAAAAGGATGTTCTGAAAGGGATCTAATTATCTCCCTCTCAATGCCAATGGTTCTAACTCTAAAACCCAACAAAAGCCAAACTTATTTTGATTATAAAGTTTTGTGAAAATTTGCATTAGGCTAAATTTTAGCAGAGTTATAATGATATTAGTGGTGATAATTGGGAAAGCTATCTTTGTAATGGGGTAAGATAATTTAAGTCTTTATTCAAACTTAGGCGTAAAGTGTTGAATTTAAGCATGAATGATAGTTCAGAGGACTATACTTGAAAGAGAATCCTCTGAACTGTCATTCATGCTTAAATTCGACACTTTACGCCTAAGTTTGAATAAAGACTTTAATTATCTTACCCATTACAAAGATAACTTCCCCAATTATCACCTCTAATATCATTAGCTCACAGACATTTACCTCCCCGCCCCCATCCCCCTTCTGTTCTGAAATTTGATTTGTCCTTTTCATATGTGTTCATTTTTTAAATTGTATCCTTTGGTATATAAGGTTGTGACAATTTTCTTCCGCTATTTGATCTGAAGAAGTGGGTCTGGCCCACGAAAGCTCATCATCTAATAAACCATCTTGTTAGTCTTTAAAGAGCTACATAGTCCTGTTTAATATTGTCAGAGCATCCTCAGACAGAAGGCACCAGGGAAGCCCAAGTATTGCAGAATATTTCCCCAGCTGTCAAGTAGATAGCTTACAGTATGCCTTCATAGGCAGGGCAAGGGTTACAATGCACTTACATTATCTTGGCTTCAGGGGTAGCAGAGTTAGTCTGTACAGAATAAACTTTAAAATCATCAAATGGTCTGGTAGCACTTTATAGACTAACAAAACATGTAGATGGCATCATGAGCTTTCGTGGGCACAGCCCACTTCTTCAGATGATCTTGACTGTGAGTTTTTGCAGTAATGCAACCATTCAGGGTTTGGGTCAAACCCCACCCCCAGACATTTCTACAAACCCCTAAGAGGGGCGGTAGGAAGGCAACGCAATCTGCAGCTGAGGGCCACAAACAGCTGAGGAAGAGTGGGTGGCGGGCGAGGTTCTGAGACCTGCCCAGGGCAGCAGGTCAGACCCGATGATCAAGGCGGTGCTGTCCGGCTCGGGAGAACAGGCCCGTCTGCCTGAAAGGCGCAGGCAGCAGGGCGAGGGAGGCAGGGCCGTGGGACTATGGGCATCCCCCCGGCCAGGAGAGGCAGGTCCCAAGATTGCCCGGCCCCAGGGCGGGAGCGGCTGCAGCCCGCGAGCTAGGTGGGCGGGGAGGCGTCCCCACCCCACGGGGCCGGCTCTGCCAGCGGCTAAGGGGGAGGGAGCAGTTCTATGGAGCCGCGCCAGGGGGCGCCCCCGCCCACTGAGCGAGCGTGACAGAAGCCGGGCCCAAGCCGCCCCATCCCTGATCTGGGCAGCGGGCGGAGCCCAAGCACCACGGGGGCCTGCGCTTACCTCACTCGACAAGGCGGAGGTACGGCAGCCGACAAGGATCAAACCAACCCCGTCCACGGTGGGGTGGGCGGGCACGGGATCCTACAGGGAGCCAACCCAGCCCCTCCCCCTCCTGCTGCCACGCGGAGTCGGGCTGTAACCACGCCTCCTGCCGTCCGACGTACCCCACGCTCCGGAGCGCGAGGGGATAACGACCCGTTCCGTCACCCGGCGCGAGCAGCCGGCACCATGATCACTTCCGGTAGGTCAGAGGGTAGCGGAAGGGGTGCTAAAAGGTGGCAGGTTAAACTAGCCAGCGAGCGGGGAGAAGGCCCCGCAGGGAGACTGTTCCCCGCCCCGTTCTCCGGTCTGTCGGTGACGAGAGACCCTCCCCCACTCTCCGGCTTCCACTGCTTTGGGGGCCTCAGCCGAGTTTCCGGGCGGTTGCCTCCCACAATGCCTGGCGGCCGGATGTGCCGCCATCTTTAGGCTCCCTCTCTCCCTTGTATTGACAATAACAAGCCCCGATCCGTCCCGGGCCGTTCCCCCCTCCCGGGAGGGAGAGAGAAGGAGGGAGAGAGGGGGAGACGAGAGAGCGAGAGCGAGGGAACTCAGGCGAGAGGAGAGGGGAAAGCGAGCGAGGGGGTGGGGGCTGAGGAGAAGAGGAAGGAAGGAAACGGGGAAGGGAGGAGGTGGAGAAAGGGGTCTAAAGACCAGAGGGAGCGAGAGATACTCACTCAGCCGCCCCTTTTGTTTCTTCTTGGAGAAAGCGGGCAGGAGCAAAAGAAGGAGAGAGGAGTTGAGAGACCCCAGTGGGAACAGAAAAGGTAGAACCCGGGTATAGAGAGGACTGGGAGAGGCTATAGGGTGGAGAGAAGAAGAAGGAAGAGAAGCTGCTGGGAAGCATAGAAGCAAGAGAGGCATGAGAAACTGCTGAGAAGAAACAAAGGAGCAGTGAAGAGAGGAAATAAGTCATTCTGTTGTGAGAAGAAAGTGAAGGAGGAGGGAACTGAAAGACTGTCCTGGCAGAAAGGAGGAGTTAAGAGACTCCTCTGAGAGAAAACAAACCAGAGACTGACTAACTCTCTCTCTCTGTCTCACACCAAAAGAATTTGATGCCCCTCAGGCAGTTCACCTCTGTGTGTTCATGTTTCCCACAGGTTTCTCTTCCCCCAACCCCCCACCAGCAGCTCAGGAGGTCAGACCTGCCACTGATGGTAATAGCAGCAGCAGCTCCTCTTCCTCCTGCAAGAAGAGAAAGTTAAACAACAGCAGCAACAACTCTGAAAAAGAAGAGTTTGATTCCATTTCCTCCTGCTCCTCTTCTCCTTCTAAAAACTCATCATCTTCCTCTATCATCACCGCCTCTTCTGGTGGCCCCTCATCCAACCATCACCTGCAGAAGAAGCTGCGCTTTGAGGACTCCCTGGATTTTATTGGACTCGATGTGAAGATGGCAGAAGAGTCTTCCTCATCCTCTTCTCCTGCTGCCTCTTCTCAGCAGCAGCACCAGCAACAATTCAAAAATAAAAGCCTTTTGATTTCTTCTGTGGCTGTGGGGCATCATGCAAATGGCTTGACCAAAGCTGCCTCCTCCACGGTCTCCAGTTTCGCCAACAGTAAACCTGGCTCTGCCAAGAAGTTAGTGATCAAGAACTTTAAAGGTAACAACAAACCATAATTTGATGAGTTGATACTCGATTATGTGTAATTTCAACATGACAAGCGATCTAGTTGGCTTGTAAATAGGATTTACTGGAAATACTCTTCTCTGGTAAATACCTACATGTGAATGTAAAAGGGAAAACTTGACAAATCTTGTACGCACTTGGAGGCAGACACCATAGTTTGGGATTACTTTTAAGGCAATTTTCACTATTTCTTGAGAGGAAGAATTTGAGACGTTGTACTCCTGTTTTTTGCTTTTAAGTCACCCTTATTTCAAATGATAACGTTTGCTTATTCCTGAGGTAAAAATTTTGACTGAAAAAATACATAGGTTAGTCCAGGTTGTTTGACAGGTCTCTGCAAAAGATAATGGTATAGGCACAGCACTTCTCATTTTGTCCATCACTGTCTGGTCTGTGCTTATTTTAATTCTTTTTAAATTAACTTACATTTTTAGGTGATTACTAAGATTTTTATGATGCACATGACAAAGTGGGTCTTTGCCCACGAAAGCTTATGCTCCAGTACATCTGTTAGTCCTGTGGCACCTTATAGACTCCTTGTCGCTTTTGCAGATACAGACTAACATGGCTACCCCTCTGATACTTGAGATTTTTATGATTGAGTTCTTCCTTTCTCTAGGCCTGTTAATGGATTGGCATGCTTTTTTTTTTTTCTTCTCCTTGTTGCTCCACTTCCACCCTCTCACCAGTAGGATTTGTGCTGCTCTTGTTACTTGAGTTTCGGAGTGCTATGTGAGGCCAGACAAAATTATGGCAAAGCTGATTGCTGCAAAGCTTAAGATGATGTGATGTGGCATGTGAGCTATTTTAGCAAGTAGCTGCATTATGAGCCGCTATAGGAGCAGACAAGGAATGCGCATAGCTTTCAGTGAGCCGTCTGTCTGTGTACAGATGTGGTCTCCTCACCTCAAAAAAGATATTTTGGCCTTGGAAAGGATTCAGAAAAGGGCAACTAAAATGATTAGGGGTTTGGAACGGGTCCCATATGAGGAGAGGCTAAAGAGACTGGGCCTTTTCAGTTTAGAAAAGAGGAGACTGAGGGGGGGATATGATAGAGGTCTATAAAATCATGAGTGGTGTGGAGAGGGCTGATAAAGAAAAGTTATTTATTAGTTCCCATGATAGAAGAACTAGAGGACACCAAATGAAATTAATGGGTAGCAGGTTTAAAACTAATAAAAGGACGTTCTTCTTCACACAGCGTGTTGTCAACCTGTGGAACTCTTTGCCAGAGGAAGCTGTGAAGGCTAGGACTATAATAGAGTTTAAAGAGAAGCTGGATAAATTCATGGAGGTTAGGTCCATAAAAGGCTATTAGCCAGGAGATAAAATGGTGTCCTTGGCCTCTGTTTGTCAGAGGCTGGAGAGGGATGGCAGGAGACAAATCGCTTGATCATTGTCTTCGGTCCACCCTCTCTGGGGCACCTGGTGCTGGCCACTGTCGGTAGACAGGATACTGAGGTAGATGGACCTTTGGTCTGACCCAGTACGGCCGTTCTTATGTACAAAATCCAAGGTTCATGCAGTTTTCCATCTTTCTTCTCTTGGACCACCACATGCTAATCTGACAATATATTTCCCTGCCCCTCTTCTCTTCACTTTGAGCAAACAGTGGTTTATATAACATTTTCTTCCCAAAGGATACTGAACTACTTCATGTGCTTTAAAGACACATAAGAATAGAGGAATTTATTGCCTTAATCAGGACAGTAAATTTGTCATGCATCTATATCTAGTGCTAATTTAGAATATTCAAATTAGATTATAACTTTGCTTCTGGTATTCCTGATACTACTTACAAAACTTCTTCCTTCCTGCGTCAGAATGCACTATCCACATTTAGTTTGACTCCGTTCTGGAATTTTAGGATCGTGGTACATGATAGAACTGAAATCTAGTCTTCGTTTATGGCTTCTCTAACAGCTCGTAGGTGAATGGCATATGTGCAGTAGCTTTACACAACTTTTGTAATGTTGGTTAAAATTGTAGATTACACATTCTTGTGAGCACCTGTTGCATATTATGAATTGTGTTGGCTGACACTTCAAATATTTATCAGCTCTGTGACTGCTATTAATTTAGTCAGTATTAAATGACAGGTTGAAAACATTTTTTTAAATTATAACCCTATCTGTGTTACTATTAGCACCTTATTAAAATTATAAAAAGTTTTTAAAACTGTAATTTCACGTGTTTTTTTTTTTTTTTAATTCATTTAACTTTGATGATAACAGGGGGCTAATTACATTTCTACTTAGTGCATGAGAACCTAAATAGGAAATGTATATTTAAAACAAAATGCCATCTTATTTTGACTCCCTCCCCCCAAAAAATGACAGTAAATTTTTCTGTTTTAATTTTGTTTAAAAAATGGATTTACAAAACCTAAACTGTGGGCCAAACTTTATCTGAAAGTGTATGCATCTTTCTCCTTAAACTCCTCCCACCCCTGGAACCTGTAGACCTGCATTGGTTCAAACCGGAAGGTTTTCTTTGCAAACAGAAGTCTATAATCATTTTTCCTGTGTAAGTATAGCTTAAATCTGCATACATTGATGGGACGAGTCTCCTTCACCAGTTTCCCACTTGGGACCTAAAACACATCTCTACAAGGGCCAAGGAAGTGTAGTACATACTAATAATTAAAAATGTATATGATATGTATAGTTCTCTGTCTTGGAACGTGTGTTATACATAAAAGGCTGTCTTCATCTTACTGATGCACAATGATAAATCCATATGTCACTTTCTAATTATTTTCACTGTGCTGTTAGCTTGATAAAAATCAGTATTAATGAAAGTATAGACTGACAATATTTTTTCACTTGAACTATTAAGACCTAGGCATTGCAGAGTTTATGGACCAGTGATGGTATCTGTGCTACAAGCGCTGTGACGTGCAGGCACAACAGAGTGACTTAAACACTGTGAATCAAGTTGAAACTTAGAATTTCATTGCTCTACCCAATAGTGAAAGCAGAATCTGATTTATACCTAAAGATATTTTTTTCATATATGTTTAGTGGAAGCTAGGGATGTAAAAGTAGTAGGCTGCCTGATCAGCCTAGTAGTTCAGTCAAATGAACTACTCGCATTTCCCCTTCCCATCCACCCTCCCTCACCTCTTCCCCCCTCCCCCCATTGCTGCCACTATCTCAGAGGCAGCAAGGCGGAGGGGAGACAGGAGCTGATGCTGAGGGGAGCCAACTTAAAAGCCACAGCACTGTCTCTGTGGTGCTGCTTCTCTCCCCCACCTCGGCCATGCACTGCTGCCTCCATCAGAGGCAGCAGTGCAGGTGGGCCAGGGGAGGCTGCTCAGGCCAGCTCATGCTGGGTCCAGGAGCTACCCCACTGTGGCTCTGCAATTTAAATGTAGTAGGAGCCAGGCTGCCTGTGAGCCTGGCTCTTACTACTTTTGAACTGCCGAGCCACAGTGGGGTAGCTCCTTCTGAGCGCCTTATTGAGTAATAGTATAGTCTATACACATTGTACCCACCTCTTAACATCCTTAGTGGAATGTTTATTTGCGAATTTGTCATCTTTACATTATAAAACAACTAGAATTTTCTGTTTTCCTTAAAAAGGATCTCAAGTATTATTTTTATCTCCTAGATAAGCCTAAATTGCCTGAAAACTACACAGATGAAACTTGGCAAAAACTGAAAGAAGCTGTGGAAGCTATCCAGAATAGTACTTCAATTAAGTACAATTTAGAAGAGCTCTATCAGGTAGGTGGGCCTGGTCTCTGTTTAAAGCCCTTCATTCTAAATAACATCTGAACATGCTCTGTTCATTTTTCACATATTAAACTTATTTGTGATTTTAAAAATAGAAAGGAAATATGACATTTTGGAGCTGCTTTTCCAGAGAGCAAACTGTTTACTTAGAACAGTTTCTCAAAATGAATTTAAAAATCCACAAGAGAGGATTTTCAGAAGCTAAAGTTGAACTGAGAACTTTTTTGCCTGCCAAGAGCATAATCTAAGGTGTAGTTTCCCTTGCAACAGTTAACATTAATTAAATAAGGCAAGAAGCTGTATTCCCTTTGCTACTGTTTTTGAGTTTGTGCTGTGTAGCTGCTCAAGGAGAAACATGAACTTTTAAAATGTTTGGTGTTTAGATAAGAAACGGACAATTTGGATTAAAATGTAATCAATTTGTGTCTGTCTAAACGCAATCTATTCATAATTTGGAATCATGAACAACCATTTTTAATTTAAAAAATCGTTTAACTTTTTAAGTAGATATAAAATGCCACCATAGTTTCTCATTAAAATCATATTCACCTGGTTGTCATTGCTAGCCATTAGAATTATGTATATTTACCTGTGAAAATATTTTAAACTCCTTTTTTTTTTTCTTATGCCTCAGTAATGATTATTTTGCCCTGATTTATTTTATTTTAAGAATGCTGTCAGGTCTAAACTGAGTAGTAGGCCTTTTTAAGCTCTTCACTGTTTATATAATTACATTTCTACTTCTTCATGTGTGGTTACATTCCTCAAACTGTTTAGGAAATCACAGTTACTTTGGCTAAACTTAGGGGAGTTTATACCACTTAGTGCTGCACCTAGTTGTAAATAAGTACACCTATTCTCCTCGAGCTTTTATCATTTAAAAAGGCTTTTATGTTTTTTTCAGGTGAATTTTGAATGTGGTTTTGGCTATAGTAAATATGTAATGGCATTCTGTATTGAGGTCTTATTGAAGTTGAATTGCCTGAACACGTACTGACCCTTTTTTTTTTTTTTTTTTTTGTCCCAATGTTTTACTGCCCGGTGCATATATTACATATACTTCAGATTCTTGTTTTGGACTTTTAGTCAAAAACAGAGAGGTTTTGAAATTTCACTTTTGGCATATACATGGTTCCACAGTAAAGCGTGTCTTGTTTGCAGCATTTGAAGGAATTGATGGCAAATTAGATACAAAAGCAGTTGTTGATTTCCAAGTATTTAAACTGTGTACAAATGAGGTTTGTACCATATTGAATAATGAACTGCAAATACGCCTTTAAGAAAAATACAACCTATCATAAGAATGTAATGGTGTAGTCGATTAACCGATAAGCAGAAGCCATGCATTTCTCTCTCCTCCCCCCTCCCCCCTCCCCTAGCCAGTAAATTTTTTAGCAGGCTAGCCAGCAGCCTGCCTCACCCCTGACTTGTGATGTGTCCGGGACCTACCCTGCTGCAGCTCTTCATGCAAAGTTTATTAGGAGCCCCACGGGCAGGCAGCCAAGCTCATTTTCATTTTCAGGTCCAGGAGTTCAGACGTCCCCTAGACAGGGGCTGCTGCCATCTCGTGCTGCTGTCTCTTTATCAGAGGCAGCAGCATTGCGGACTGGCTGCCTGTCGCCCAAGGGGAGCTTGGCTTCTCAGGAGTGAGGCCGGAGCACACTGGCTGCACACTGCCAGAGACTTGGCACATCAATTAACCAATATTTAACATCCTTGATCTACCACTCAAAGGACAAACTAATCAGTTAACTAGTAGAGATGGCCTTTATCTACAAAGTCTTACTGAGAATCTTGACATTACTTTAAAGTAATAAATGAAGTTAGCCTCTTAGAGGTTAGAAACAGACCAGGTTTCACTATGCTTTATGCTCATGGAGAGTGAGTCACAACTACTTTGCGAATTGTGACTTTGAATATCCTGGTATGTGTTGAAAATCTCAACTATAATGTTATAATTATTTAAATATATTTAAGTGAATAGAAATATTATGATTGTACTCTTAAGTTGAATCTAAAAATAAATGTCGTATTTTAAAAATAGTAATAGCTATTGCTAGTATTTAAAATGCTAAATAAGCTAGTGCTGCATGTGAACAGCTGCTTGGTAAATGGATCCGATTCCAAATATGCTTTGGCAGACGTTATTATCCAAGCAGAGACGGGAATGGCCAAAAAGAAGCCTATGGAAGTTCCTTCCCACAGTTTTCAAAAGGATGTATTCAGATTCAGATTTTGTTTTTTAACAGAGTTAAGCTTCTTGGTTTTAGTTTGACATATCTGTGTGCCAGTAAAATCCCACTGAGTGAACATTTTTTTTTTAAGCCTTTAATTTTTTAGACTACTAGCCATTAGGGCTGTGTTAGTTCATCTACTTCTGAAGTTGAAGTTGAGGAAGAGTGTACAGAGATAAGCAGCTAAATAATCCTGGAGAACTCAAAGCTTTATACAAACACTTATTTGCTGGAATAATTTTCTTAAGTACATCAATACTAAAAAGTAGAGGCCTAGACTTTGGCAGTAATTACCTGTTTAAAAAGTTGATTTTATTTGTAATCGGACATTTTAAACATTTCTCCAAGTGCCTATTGCTAGGGCCTGAGACCTGATCTCTCTCTCTCTCTCACCCCACACACACCTTATTATCCCACAAAACAAATGTAAACTAACCCATTGAATATCATGATGAGGAGGCTTCTTGGTCCCATGTCCTGAGTATGGCTAATACATTTGGTAGTGTGGAATCCCCAAGCAGGGCCTTAATACTGAATAACCCACTGCTGTGAATCACAAGTAGGAACATCTGAAGTCACAGACATCTTTTCAGTATAGTGTAGCTATTTGCAGCATTAGCAATAACAAAATGTCTTGTATACAATAATTTTAAATATTGATTTATTATAATGTTGCAATAGCAGTTGTACAGTATATATGGAGATACTTCCATTTAAAAAAAACCCACTGTTTTCACATGCTTGGCAATTCCCTCTACCTGTGTATTTTAAAAAAACATTGTGTGTGGTTTTTCTTAAAATTTCGTACTTGGTGTGGAATTTCTTCATTAAAATGCATGTATTTTGTAATTGACATCTGGGGTCAAAACAAAATATTTGAAAATCCTATTTGACACAAGCGAGTTGTGACTTTTTTCCAATATGTATAACTGTAGGGAACTCCAAATATACAGGTGCTCATGCAGGGTTGGATTAAGAAAGGGGCTTTAGGGTCTGTAGCCCAGGGTACTAGGCTAAGGGGACCGCTTCAGAAGATCTCCAGGCTACCAAAAGTGCAGATTTTTCTGCAGAGTCCACTTAGCCTAAGGCCTTGGGCCACCAACACTAAAGCCTCTGTGTTCCAGCTCTACCTGGCCATGGGGTTGGAGGCCATAGCTCTGTGCACTGCTGTCCCCCACATGTTACAAACAGGGCTGGAGTTGCAAGTGCTGGGAAGCTCCATCGATGCACTTCCCTTGCCTGCAGCTCCCATTGGCCAGTACGAGGCAGCACGCAGAGCCAACTGCTCTCTCTCTCTTCCCCTGTCTGGGGCTTGCACCAGCAAATGGGAGTTGCTCCCTCCTGCAGCCTAACTCCCTCCCCATCCCTACACTCCAGCCTCCAGCCCTGAGCCCCCTTCCCAGCACTCACAGCTCTAGACTAAACCCTTTTGCCCCAGTCTGAAGCCCCCCCGCTGTACCCCAGACACCTCATCCCTGGCTCCTTTCCAGAGCCCTCACCCTTCCCATGCTCAACCCTGCGTCAGCCTATAGCCACCTCATGCATTCTCTGAACACTCATTTTTGGCCCCACCATGGAGCTTAGGAGGCTTCCGAAAAACTGACAGCCCTTGATCCGCACAGGAGTTAATCCAGCTCTGCATGCGTGCATATGTCATATATTAAAAATTTCACTTATTACACATTGAAATAAATGCACATGGTTTGAAATCCATCCATTCATAATGGACCTAGAGAAAGTCCTCCAAAGTGCGTAAGTCCCTGCGCTGATGCAGTATGGGAAACAGAGTCGCTATGCAGTGGGTATGTATGCAGCCCCTGTTTTCAAAAGTCAGGGGGTACAGAATTCTGGAACATTTCAAAAGAGGCTGCCTAGGAGGGACAAAGCGGAGATGGATCAGATGCAAATGGATTGGCCAGAAACCATTTTGCCAATGGAGTACAGAGGGCTAGACACTGTTAGCTGTGCTTATTAACTAAAAGATTGAGGACAGATAGGGTTACGTCTCAGAGGGGTAGCCATGTTAGTCTGTATCTGCGCAAAAAAAAAAAAAAGTACTGTAGCACCTTAGAGTCTAACAGGTTTATTAGGGCATATGCTTTCATGGATAAAGCCCACTTCATCAAATGAATTGGAGTGGAAATTACAGTGGCAGGTATGTGTGTGTAATATATATAACCTCTCCTCTCCCCCCCAAAAAAAGGAAATTATCAAGTGGAGGACCAGTGTTAATGAGGTCAGTTAAGTCAGGGTGGATGTTGTGTACCTGGCTTGAGGGTGGTGTTCCATCTTTACATATCCAGTTGTCATTTCTCCCAATCTCAAAGCCCATGTGGATGAAAGAGGGGTTACATTTTGTATCCTGTGTTTACTTGAAAGTTTGATCTGGCTTTTTTCCACTTGTTAAAGATCTGTAAGTTAGAAGCTGATAACATAGGCTATAGACGCATGAGAGAATGAGGGGGAAACTTATGTGCCATCTGAACAAAGAACTGTACAGTGTTTTCCTGTTAAATCAGTAATTTTCAGCCTGTGGTTCACAGATTATGCCTAAGATTTCCAAAGGAGTCCTCTCCTCCATTCAATTTCTGTTAAGGTCAGCAAAAGGAAATATGGTTGAAAATCATTGTTTTTTAAAAATTATATTGATGTAACTTAAAACCGAGAATTTAAGCTCTCAAATATCAGAAAATTCAGTTGTGACTTTCCCAGCAGCTTATGCTTATGTAGCACGTTGTATGATACTTTTATTCATGAAAACAATGTATATTGAAAATACTATGAACTCTAACTCAGTCAGTCTGCATCCCATATATTCCGAGTTAACTGTTAGTTTCTGACACAAGAAGTTCGCACTATTTTTTTATTCCTTGTTCTCCCTTTAGAGTTAATATAATTATGGGTGAGTGAGCAGCATTCATTTCACAGAAATGCTAACTTCAGACTGTGGAGTCTTTACTGCTGGTGCTTGATGCAGAAGCTAGAAAGAACCGGGCTTAGCTGTCAGATCCCATGCTGAGTTAGTGGCACTGGCAGAATGCATTTTTACTTTGAACTGAGTAAATGCAGTCTGAAAATCACAGAGACGATGCATGTGGAACTAAAGATTAGCTACCCACATATTCTGATACCCATATATTCTGGTACAAAAAACCTTAGTTAACCTAACTGTTACAGTTGTTTGTGTGCATTCAGTGTAAATACAATCAATAAAAGGAAAGCACCAAGGAAGGGGCCATCCACATAATAAGCAGGGTCACTTCACAATGCTATTATTCCTACTGACTTTACCTTAACTGCCTTTTACTTTCCACTTAAACATTGAGGATGCATGCATCTGGTTTTTTTTTTTTCTAATTCACACCCAAATGGTCATAGTTAACAATGCCCTCAGATAGCTTAAGATAGTGATTCCCAACCTCTTGACTGCCGGGCCACAGTGGCTCCAGAGACCAGGGCTGAGGTACACCACTCTCGCTGCAGCTGTTGGGAGAAGCGTGCTGCCTTGCTTGTCAGCTAACCGGTGCCACGCAGGGAAGTGCTCTTCCGTGGTCAGGAGAAGACCCCACCCCTACCTGGCACTGGTTGGTCAAGAGGCGGGGAAGGACATGTATCTCCCAACAGCTGTGGCTGGAGGAGAGACACTGGGCAGTGTACCCCAGCCCTGGCTCCCAGAGCTGCCACTACGTGGGTACCAGCGAAGTGCTAGGTGAGTGGGCAGGGCTAGTGCTGGGAGGCTCTGGAAGTTGAGCTAATAGTGGAGGGGAGTTATGGGTTAGGGCTGGCACTGGGGTCCTCTGAGGGCGGGATGCTGGAACGGAGGGGGGGGAGGGAGAGGTTGAGTGCAGGAGATTCTGTGGCTGGTGCTAGGGATAGTGGAGGAGTTGGGGCTTTGGAGGTTAGGCCTGGCACTGGGGGCTTGGCTTTTGGTGGACTGGAAACATTTTATTTGTATAATCATCATTTGCATAATTAGTATTCAGATATGCAAATAACATGTTACTGATCTGCCAGATGTTTTTGAATGGGTTTGCCAGTTGCTGGTATCGAAAAAGCTGGGAACCACTGGCTTCAGATATATCTACTGAGAGAGTATAGAATACAGAGCACTACCAAAAAAGTCCAAGTCATAATTAAGCTTGTGTGACCTGGCGACATGTGACAGAGTTTAGAGGGAACTTGGGGTGGGTGTGAAAGGGTGAACACTCGCGAATGTGCTTTCTTGCACTTCCCTGTCTCTCTCAGTGGAAGTACAAATGGCTTAGTAAGATCAGTAGCTCATAAAATAAATCCTGAAGTGTCTGTACTTCAAAATAATAAAACCCAAAAATTGCTGGAAAATTGATCCCCTGTAGGGACAAATCATACACTTCTCACTTAGGCAATTAAGGTATGTCTACATTGCAGTTAAGCACGTGCAGCCAGGATGGGTCAGCTGACTCGGGTTCACAGGGTTCTGGCTGCAGGGTTGTAAAACTGATGCACAGACATATATTAGGCTCAGGCTGGGGTCCCTGAGCAGGGAGGATCCCAGACTCTACCATAAGCCTGAACATCCACACAGCAGTCTCTAGCCCTGCTGCCCAAGCCTTGTGAACCTGAGTCAAGAAACCCAGACCAACTGCAGCTGTGCCACAGATCTTATTCCAACACAAACATAGTCTCAGAGTCCCATGAAGTCTGTAGATCCATGGATTGTGAACTATTTAGGAGCAAGCCCTTTTTGTCTCGTTATAGCTGTAATGTCATTTATACATCTACTGTGCTCTAAGCAGCAGTATGTTATGTAAAGTTCAAGAGTGGGCGAATCTTGCTCAAGGATCAAAAACTTGTCGTGCTATTTTTTTATGGAAGGGATAAATCCATCTTACTATATCTGTTTCATTATTTATTTTAGGCTGTTGAAAATCTCTGCTCCTACAAGATTTCTGCAAATTTGTATAAACAATTGAGACAGATTTGTGAAGACCACATCAAAGCACAAATTCATCAATTCAGAGAATATCCTTTAACTTTAGGTGAACTGAAAGTCTGTTCACCTGAGAGTCTCGTGTTTCTTTTGCATCAGTTGATGGTATTGGAAAGGTAGCATTATCTTATAGTTTGGCATTGTGGGTGTTCTTTCCATTTCTGCTAAACTACTAGATAAATGTTTGTAGAGCCATTTGAGATCTTCACAGAAACAATGAAGTGTTACTTGTGCAAAAAGTGTTACTGAAGGGGAGTGCAACAATATGGTTAAATGCAGTCCCTGAACTGTTTTAGTTACAACGAGGGTATGTCTACACTGCCACCCTAGTTCGAACTAGGGTGGCAGTGTAGACATACCCTCGTTGTAACTAAAACAGTTCAGGGACTGCATTTAACCATATTGTTGCACTCCCCTTCAGTAACACTTTTTGCACAAGTAACACTTCATTGTTTCTGTGAAGATCTCAAATGGCTCTACAAACATTTATCTAGTAGTTTAGCAGAAATGGAAAGAACACCCACAATGCCAAACTATAAGATAATGCTACCTAAAAATCATTTAAAATGTAACCATGTAACTGCTAAAAATGCTAGTAGTTACATGGTTACATCTGTTGCAAACTTACATGTGTATATAAGCTTTGCTACTGAGCCCGCAGTAAAGCCTTCCCAGAAAGCCAGAGTGTAACCGTAACGGAAACCAATAAGCTGATTCTTATTGGTTAACCATTTAAACGGTTACACTTTTACATCCCTAGTTACAACACCCTTCAGTGACACCTTCTAAGAATTAGCAATGGAATCAACTGTTGTAAAACACAAGAAGACTCCTGAAACTGCTTTACGTGCAGGTAAGAAGAGGCAATTAATTTCAGCAACTTTTATCTTAAACTGTATTGAGTCTAGAAATAGCTAGTACTCAGTTACTGGTTTGGGATCTTTAGCAATTTTTAAAGCTTTTCTGCTTAACTGGAAAGTCTAGTAGTTTATTAAGAGGCATACTTTCAATAACCAACTAATATTACACCTGCATATTGTATGCCCACAATAAAACATAATGCAAATGGTACATTTAGACATGTACCTATAAGATTTGGGGTCATGTGTCTGGCATTAGCACCTTAATTCTGGCATTTGTGCTTGGAAATGATCTCGTATATAAAATTTAATTTTGAGTCCCTCTGAAAATATGATCTGAAACTATAACATTCTTGTCTGTTTACATTTTAATAAATCATTGTGTTTTAATTTTAAAAAATATGTAATTGATGTTTTTCATGTTAGCAAAGTACAATCATTAAAGTAGATTAAGCTTCTAAGTTTTTGGTTTTGATAATGTTACTGAGGGACCGGAGTGATTTTTAGGTGCTTTTGATAATTTTACCCTGGCCCTGAACTGTTAAGCATGACTCTGATATAAACTAAAAATAAGTAAAGTATGAAAAAAATTGTGATCTTTTCTAAAGGTGGCTAGTAAATTTGTGATGCATTCTTCTGAAAACTGTGAAAAAGTAAACAAGTTCTCGAGCTTTTTAGGTAGCTAATGTCAGCAATGAGATTTGTTGTAATTTTCTTAACTGCTTTTTCATGGATTCGCTGGATAGTGTTCTTTTTCTAAAGAAAATAGACAAATGTTGGCAAGATCACTGCAGACAAATGGTAAGTTTAAAAAAAAAAAAACTTTTATATTCCTAACAGTTTACACTTTTTTTTTTTTTTTTTCCAAATACACTTTGTGCTTCTGAAATGTTATCTAATGTCTTATGTAAAGGCTTCCTTTATAGGAGGGAATGACACTGACTTAGTAGAAATGAAGCTTTGAAAGCACTTCCCCTAGCTGAATCTTTGAACATATGACTTTGGTCTTCAATAAACATTTTTTTGGGGGGTGGGAGGGAGAGAATCTTAATTTTACCCTTGGTTCATGTCTAAATACTACCTTTCATTCTTTCCCACTCTAAATTAAATGTCATGTTGATCATCTTATTTAAAACATCTCACTGCATACTAGTAAATGCAGAATACTCCAGAAATTGTAATGATTTTGGCACATATGCATATAGAGGTTTATGACATTTGGAATTTCAATTTTAATGGATATAGAAATGCTGATAATTTTTCCCCCTCCAACAGATCATGATTAGGAGTATCTTTTTGTTCCTGGATCGAACTTATGTTCTTCAGAATTCAATGCTGCCATCAATTTGGTAAGGATGCAAAGAATAAAATTGACGTTTTTTTTTTTTTTTTTTTTTTTAAACTCTTTCATACTGTCTTACTACAGGATGAACCTCTCTAGTCCGGCACACTGTGGTCCAGCAACATCTGTGGTCTGACATGATTTCAGTTTCCCATGGTCCATAAAGTTTGTTTACAGATACCAATCCTAGCTCCCAGTGTTCTGTGCTGTTATTTAGCTCTAATTTACCCCTAAGTGTCTTCTAAAAGCCAGGTAAGCAGTGGGAGTGTTGGTAATGCTGCTAGACAATAGTGATCTCCTATGGTCCAACAAATTCTGTGGTTCAGCACCAGTCAGGTCCCAAGAGTCCTGGACTAGAGACATTCAACCTGTATTTTGAAATACAGGGATTTCCGTTAGTTTATATTTTTCACTCCTTGGAGAGAAATGTTTTGAATTTCATTTCCATGAAATGTGTGAGTTTTGCAGTGACTAACACCAAATTTTAACTGAACTGGTATAATCTAATTCCAGTTTGCATAATAAAAGAAAGCCTATTTAGTAATTGAAAATCTAGGATTTAGGGTCAAAGAGTCATTTGCTACACATCTGCTTATCAAAGGTAGTAAGGATATTTAGTACATATGTAACTTTCTAAAGATAAAATGCTTTAAATATATTGGATAACAAATATGAACAAGTTCTACTTTTATAAAGGGAGAAACTAAGGTTACATCTACAGTACCAGCTAGGGCTGTGATTCCCAGGTCTTCTAAATGTACTTACACTAGTTCTCATTGAGGTAATGCAAGTATAAATAGAAGTATAGCTTCAATAGGACAGACAGTAATGGCATGGCTTACCCATTTCAAGTCCATATTTACAGGTTAAGCCATGCCACTGTTGTCACTGCCTTTGCTATGCTACTGTTTATACTTTCAATTGCTCTCATCACACTAGTGCATGGGTTCCCAAACTGGGGGGCGTGAAGAAATTCCGGGGGGGGCAACCCAGCCACACACCCCCGCCTCAATCCCACCCCAAGTTTTGCTGCTATTTTTTTGGGGTGGGGGGGCGTGAGGGTTTCTCAAAAATCAAAAAGGGGGCGTGATGCCGAAAAGTTTGGGAACCACTGCACTAGTGCAAGAAAGTGTATGAGCTGGGAAATCATACCCCTGGTTCCAAGGTTCACAAACTGTTTGGCAAGCTCCATTCAGGTGGTCTAAGGTGCATTTAAGTGGCCACACACAAGAGAAGGTTGCCCACGTAACTAGTGGCTTGCAGGCATGACTCCATTAAGTAGGTGCCTGGACCCTGGAGAAGATGCACATGTAAGGTGAGGTGGTGGACTTCACAGGAATAGGGAGTAATTGGGAGAGCGGCAGTGAAGTGGGGAAAATAGGTAAGTGGGGGGGACAGTAGGGAGAATTTAGGACATGCAGGGCTGTAGCGACCAAAGAAAGGTGACTCTTCGCAGCAACCACAGCTCTGGAGCTGGGGAAAGCCAGCCCTCTTTTCCAGCCTCAGCTAGCCCTCTTTTCCAGCCTCAGCTGTGCGGTTGCTGTGGCAGGAGAGAGACCACTGCTGATATTAAATGAGTCGTGTGCTTTTATTTGTAGAACAAAAAACATTTATTGTTAAGGTTTTTTAATATATAGCACTTTTACACAAAGCACTTTACACTACTTTGCTAATGGTACAAACAACATTTGGAAAGATCATCAAGGGGTCTGGTGAAACAATCTGCAATTTTCAAGTGGTCTGTGGAGGAGAGGGGGAAATTTGAGAACCATTGCCATTATCTCATAGTGAAGACATGATCAATGAGAGGTTGAGGTCAGCTTTTTTTTAAAGTGAATTCTGATGACTGAATTGCTTGAGTTTGGACTGCAACTTGATATACCTTAGTAAAGGTCTAATTTTTCAGAAAGTTATGAGTACCCATTCACCAATCCATTTAAGGTGTCAGGTTGGACAACCAAAACTGAGACCCTTGCCTCCAAATTGCCATTCTCCATTTAAAATCTTTGCCCAAGAACACCCAATGACAGAGTTGAGATTAGTACCTTGGCTTACATTCTATGTTTAGTTCTTTTGACAAATCTGCTTTATCTTTGAATAGATGCTAGCATTCATATTAAATTGAGGAAATAGTTTTTAAGCAACATGAGTTTTTAATCTTTCTGAATCCAGCTAATTCAACCCAAGAATGGTTAACTTCCTAAAATGAAGTGATTATCAAAACTAAATCTCTTACTTGTATGCACAGATATGAGAATGTATACATGAGTTTTCCTTTGGTGGTTGTTTGCTGTTTGTTTGTGTGTGTATATGTGTGTGTATGCATTTACGTGCCTCTAAAATGTCTTGGGAAACTGAGACAGTAAATACTCGAGCATCAAAATCGACTATGTACTGTTGGTTTTTATTGTAATAGTTAAAAATAAATCAAGGATGGTACTGATGTCAATTATTTAAGAGGTTTTTTAATCCTTTTTAGGGATATGGGTTTAGAGTTGTTTAGGACTCATATAATTAGCGATCAGAAAGTTCAGAACAAGACCATTGATGGCATTCTTCTCCTGATTGAGAGGGAAAGAAATGGTGAAGCTATTGATAGGAGTTTGCTCCGAAGCCTTCTAAGTATGCTTTCTGATTTGCAGGTGAGTAGATTTTCTTCAGTTTGCAGAAAACTGAAAAAAAGCATCGCACTTGTATTAAAGCATAGTGTGTTCTTAAAACTGAATTATTATTCTTCATTCCCTAGATTTATCAAGATTCTTTTGAACACAGATTCTTGGAAGAGACTAATCGTCTTTATGCAGCAGAGGGACAGAGGCTTATGCAAGAACGAGAGGTATTTTGTTTTAATCTTTTTCCTATTAACAGCCACCGATGAAACTTCTGAGCTCCAAGAGAGCAGAATGTGTTCCTGTACTGCATTCTCTGTGTGCTAGGATAGCTGGAAATAGTCTCAGCAGTAGTATAACCTACAAATTTACCTTTTAAAAGATGTACTCGTGCTAGATGTACTCAAGCACCATTGCTCTAGGGTAGGGATGGGCAATAATTTTGGATGAGGAGGCCACTCCAAGAATTTGGAAAGTGGTCAAGGACTGCACTCTTCTCCAAAATGTAAGGTAGGAGATACAGAGTCTGGGATGGAAATAGGGCACAGAAGGGAGCTCGGGTTAGGGGATTAGGGTGCAGAAGTGGGTGTGGGGTGTGGAAGGGAGTTTGGGTGAAGAAGGGGGTTGTGACAGGGAGGGGGTACAGGGTCTGGGAGGGGGTTGTAGCCTGGCGCAGGGGTTTGGTTTGTGACCTCTAGGGCAGGGGATGGGGTGTGGGGTCTGGGAGGAGGTATGGGTGCATGAGAGGATTCTGTCCTGGAGGAGGGGTATAGGAGGGGGTCCAGGGTCTTGGGAGGTGATTCTGACCTGAGTCAGGGTGCAGAGAGTTTGATTTGTGACCTCAAGCAGGGAGTTGGAGTGCAGGAAGGGTTGGGGTGCCAGGTACAGGTTCCCAGCCAGCAGCCCAGTGTGACCCTCAGGCATGCTCCCTATCTGCTGCAGCCCCACATGTCGCTCAGAGCAACCCAGGCAGTTTCCTAAACTGGCCAACAGGAGCTGCAAGATTGTGCACCACGTTCATTCCCAACACCAAACCCATCCCTTCCCCCTGGAGCAGACAGAGATCCCATGTCCCCCATTGCCAGCCACATTGAGTAGCATGCAAGTGTATGTCAGGCAGGGAGCCTGCTGGGCCTAGGGATGTAAACGAATAGTCCACTACCCAATAAGCATGCGCTTATCAGGTAGTCGAGTAGTGACTCGAGTAGTTGCTTCCCCCCCCACCTTGCTGCCTCCATCCGGGGGAGCAGGAGCCAGTGCTGGGGGGGAGCCAGCTTAAAAGCCGGTTCCCCCCAGCACCATCTCCACGGGGGGCAGGAGAAGCAGAGATGTACCGGGGGGGTGACCAGCCACAAGCTGGGAATCAGCTGTCCTAGCTCATGCCCGGTCCCCCCCATGTTGCACATCTGCCTTGTAAATGCATTAAGAGCCTGATGGCTCTTAATGCATTTAAAAGGCAGAGCCACAGCAGGGTGGGCTCCCGGAGTCAGGAGCTAACTCTGCTATGGCTCTGCAGTTTACCCACCTTATCAACTGAGTACTTGATGGAAATTCCATTGACTGCTCGATTAGTTGATTAAACACAATTTAACATCCATAGCTAGGTCATGGGACAGATCCGGGATGGGTTTGGCAGGACTGATGCAGCCCATGGGTAGTATTTTGCCTGTTCCTACTCTAGGGCCTGGTGTTATTGGACCTAAAATTATCTGTAGCTGCTGTTAGATTTTGGTCCTTGCATCTCTTCAGATTTTCTTCATAATTTAAACAGTATTTTCTTTCATCTTTCAGGTTCCAGAGTATCTTCATCATGTCAACAAGCGATTAGAAGAAGAAGCAGACAGAATTATCACATATTTGGATCAGAGTACACAGTAAGTGTGATATGCCTTGACTTAGTCATTCTGTTTTAATTCCATTGAAGGCTTTTGCTACACAAAATAACTACATTCATTTTCTGACTTATTTGCATATGAATGTAATGTAGGCTGCCAAATGCTTCTCCTCTTCCCCAGAATTACTAGGAGCCAATTTTGTTATCTTGTACAGCTAACTGGAGTGGTTGATTTTAAAAACTGATTTGACTTTGGGCGATTAATGTGACTTGTTTGGCATTTTAGGAGGGAGAGCCTGGATTCCTACTAGCAGTGGCAACTACAGGCAGTCCCTGGGTTACGTACAAGATAGGGACTGTAGGTTTGTTCTTAAGTTGAATCTGTATGTAAGTCGGAACTGGCGTCAGCCGCTGCTGAAACTGGTCAGTTTCAACCACGGATGAATCTGGACGCCAGTTCTGACTTGCATACAGATTCAACGTAAGAAACCCAGGCGTCCCCAAGTCAGCTGCTGCTGAAACTGATCAGCGGCTGATTCCAGGAAGCCTGGGGCAGAGCAACTCTGCCTCGGGGTTCCTGTAGTCAGCGCTGGTCAGTTTCAGCAGCAGCTAAATCAGGACGCCTGGGGCAGAGCAAGCGGGGGGGGCGC